AACAGGTTCCAATAAGGATCTGAAATAAGTACGAACAGAGAACAAACCATTCTGTGCCGCCCTCCACCTGCTACAGTCGTCTTCTCCAACTTGAATGTGCACCTCATACAGAGAAGCCAAAAACAATGCGTAATCATCCAGCTCCCAATCATGTAAGCCCCTTCCGAAAGCGATGTTCCAGCAAGGGTTCCCATTAGATATAGTCATAACATCACTCACCATAGTGGAGGACTCCAGGGCAATGCGATGTAAAGAAGGAAAACGCACTTTTAATATCTGATCTCCGCACCAACAATCGTCCCAAAATCTGATATTTGTACCGTTCCCCACCGCAAAAGCCAACCTATTCTAAAAATCGTTCCATCCTTTCCTGATATACCTCTACAAGCTCATCCCATAAGAGCCACGACCCTCGCCTGAGCGCCACCCCCCTTCCAATACCCCAAATTTCTCCCTAATAATCTCTCCAGAAGCTTTCCCTCTCCATTCCAAATCGCCACAGCCACTTGCCCAACAAAGCCTTGTTATATAAAACAAAGCTCCTCAATCCAAGACCCCCCACCCTAACAAGGGAACAAACATCACTCCATTTGACCAAATGAAACTTCTTCTCTTCCCCCAACCCTGTCCAAAGAAAATCCCTCTGCAACTTCTCCAAACTATTCGCCACTGCAGCAGGAATAGGAAACAATGATAGAAAATAGGTTGGAAGGCTAGAAAGCGTGGACTTGATGAGAGTAAGACGACCTCCTTTTGACAGATAAATACGCTTCCACCCCGCTAACCTCATCTCCACCCTTTCAAGAATACCATTCCAGATTTGTTTACTTTTAAACTTCGCTCCTAATGGAAGCCCAAGATATGACATAGGCAATTGGGCAACTTTGCATTCGAGTACGGTCGCTAGTTCTTCTACATTAGCAACCTCTCCCACTGGAATAACCTCAGATTTGCCCAAATTTGCCTTCAAACCGGAAACCGCTTCGAAACAAAGAAGCAAGCGACGCAGATTCCTAATTTGCATATCGTCTGCATCACAGAAGATCAGTGTGTCGTCTGCAAATAACAAGTGGGAGACCTGTAAATGACCAACCGCAAAACCTCTTAACAAAACCTCCGTCACAGCTTTCTCAATCATTCTACTGAATGCCCCTATCACAATAACAAACAACAAGGGGGATAACGGATCACCTTGCCTCAAACTTCTACTACTCCGAAAATAACCTTCAGGGTTACCATTGACTAAGACTGAGAACGAAGCCGTTGAGATACAAAACTGAACCCACTTACACCACCTATCCCGGAATCCGCATCGCCTGAGCATATACATAAGAAATCCCCCAGTTGACGTGATCATACGCCTTTTGAATATCTAGTTTACACAACATCCTTAGGATCCCTTGACGTATTCTTGAGTCAATGCATTCATTCGCAATAAGAATTGAATCTAAGATCTGGCGCCCCTTCACAAAAACATTCTGGAACTTAGACACCACTTTTCCCAAAACCTCATTTGATCTATTCGTCAAAACTTTAGCAATGATCTTGTAAACCCCACTGACTAAGCTAATAGGATGGTAATCCTTAACGACAGTCGCTCCCGGTTTCTTAGGAATAAGCACAATGAATGTGGCATTAAGACTTCTCATAAACCTTTTTATTGTATCCATAATGTCTGATCTTACCACCTCCCAACAAGCCTTATAGAATGAGAACTAGAACCCGTCCGGTCCAGGGGCCTTGTCATTATTCATATTAAACACCACATCCCTAACTTCATTCTCCTCAAATGGTCTCTCAACCCAACTAGCATCCTCGTCGGTGATAGTGAAGAAGTCCGCCCCTCCAACTTAGGCCTCCACACAAACTACTCTTGGTAGAGATTCCGATAGAATCTCACCTGCTGAGTCACGATATCTTGTGGATCCTCATACGTAACTCCATCAACCTCCAGCAGTGTAATAGAGTTATTGCGCCAGTTGGAATTAGCGACCCGATGAAAGAACTTGGTACATTTGTCACCCTCCTTCAACCACAAGACCCTAGACTTTTGTCTCCAAGCAATCTCCTCCATCTCCACCAATGTTTCCAACTCTCCCCTTAGCCTTCCACGCCTCTCCCTTTCCTCCCCATCCAACCCTCGACTCTCCTCCTGCCTGTCCAACTCTCCTATATCTAACATACACTGATTTTTACGAACGTCTATGTCTCCCACCACCTCCCCATTCCACTTCTTTAAATCCCCCTTCAAGGCCTTCAGTTTCTAGTGTAAAACATAACTAGGAGACCCCCTGAAATCATAAGAAGCCCACCAAGTCCGAATTCGCTCCCTAAAACCTTCAACTTTCAACCACATCTTCTCAAATCTAAAAGGTCTTCTTCTACTACCCCTACTAATCTCAGCTAACGAAATAGGAAAATGGTCTGAGTACACTCTCCCCAATCTCCTCTGAGTGACATCAGGGTACTTAGCCTCCCACTCACCACTAATTAGGAATCGATCTATCCGAGATTGAACGGGTTGATTTCGACTGGATGACCAAGTAAACTCTCCCCCCATCATAGGCAGATCCACCAACATATTTTCCCTAATAAAATTCGAAAAATCCTCCATAGCCCCTGTTAATCTTCTTCCACTCGACCTCTCAGAAGGAAACCTGACCACATTAAAGTCGCCCCCAATGCACACTGGTAAATTCCACCAAGCCATCATACCAGCTAGTTCATCCCAAAGGCCCCTTCTATGCACATTAGAATTTGGCCCATAAACTCCAATAAACATCCAATTAAATCTACCCTAACATTACTGGAGGAAAGTGATAGAGAAAATAACCCTACACTAACCTCCTTCATATCAAACACTCTAATGTCCCACATAACAAGCACGCATCCTGATGTCCATGAAGCTCTAAGAAACTGATACCCAACATGTTGTCCCCCCATAAAGAACGCACAACAGCCCTCGAGATGACCTCTAACTTCGTCTCCTGTAAACAGACAAGATCGGCCGGCCATCCCCTTAACATGTTTCGGATCCCGAACCTCTTCCCAACTTCGTTGAGCCCCTGTACATTCCAACTAATGATTTTTGGGATCATCTAAACACTCCTTCATCCTTCCCTAACAACCCTTTCTTTGACACCCCGCTTTTAACATCGTAATTTATCGAACATTCGAGTCGCTTAAGCTCACGGTCCCCTCTTCTTCTTGCTCTTCCTCCTGGTGAATACATCTCATGTCCCCTGCGAGTCTCCAACTCCTCAAACAAGTGCATAAGTTCATTCTCATACCCACTGCATGACACACCCACCATCTTATTGAATTCATGAATTTTGTGGAGAACCCAATTTGATGCCGGAGGTCTAACATCAAGCATAGAACCTTTCACTATCTCCCCTGCATAGCAGCATCCAATAGGCTCAAAGAGCTGTCCTTCTCCCTCTTCCCCCCGCACTGCACCCTTGTCCTTTATTCCTATTTTGGTGCTATCCTCCCACACTACTATCGCTTTTTCGTTCCCTGACTCATTTTCATTAAGAGACTTCTGATTTCTCCTATTGTAAGTGTTTATAATCATAGTATTCGGGCCTGTCACCACTTGCTCTTGTGTCGGAGCCGGACTTGATTCCTCTACCATCACTGTTCCGGTCTCTTTCTCCATCAACCCAACCCCCTCTGCTGCTATGATCATGTCTCCCTCAATCACAACTGCA